CCTCAGTCCTCCATTTTTTTCCCTCCATCAACTCAGTGACACCCAGCAGTGGGCCGTGACATTACAGAAAAACAGAGCAGGGGCGGTGGGGGATGGAGGGAGGAACATTACAGGAAGAAAAAAAAAAGAAGAAGTAGAGAGATTGTGAAGGCAAGAGGGAGAGACTTAAAGAAGCGGGGTTAGGAGGGCGGGGGCACGGGAAAAAAAAAGATTGAGAGCAAGCAAGTGTTGGACTGAGTGACAAGTAAGTGAGGAACATGTGAGTGATTTCCTCAATGTCATGAAGCAACGTGGGGGCGGCTGCAGCTGCGGGTGAAGGAGTGGCGAAGCAAGCTTGATGGCCTCCACAGCTGATGAGAGGAACCGGTCCCTTTGAAAGAAAGAGCTCAATAATTCAGAGGGAGGTGGGAAAAGAGGGAGCAGAGGAGAGTGAGGCGACAGAATAAGAGCCGCTGGCTGACAGGCATTTAGAAAATACTGTATAGCTTTTTTCAGAAATGCACATGTGAGAAAACAGCAGGAGAACCGTTTCACTGTGGGCAAGAGGGTGTGTCGATGACTTTTCTAATATGTGAGGGTTGCACAAACAAAACAAAAAGAACTAACTAAATACGAACAAAAATGGAAAGAAAGCTTTTGGTGTTGATGTACTTTAAATAAAAACTTAATCTCTGCAGTGCAATTTATACGTTACATTACGAGTGTCAGAAAATATCAAACAGCAGCAGCACCACTCCTGCTGCGTGTGGACGTCAGACTTGCCAGAAAACTCCTTGTGGGTGCTCCAGTGGTTGCAGCACAGCGGCAGAATTCCTGGCACATTCCCCGCACAACGGAATCTGTTGTGTGTTGTTCCCAGGTAAGCTCTTTGTGCAGGACATCACTTTGGAACCATTCATTCACACTGGCAGGCACACAGTATGGCCACAATCAGAGCTGCCACCAGCCTGCAGTGCAAACACAAGCAGAGGAATTATTCTCTTATGAAAACCACCGGGGGTCAATGCATAAACTCCATCCTGTAGAGCAAATGCAGTGGCATTCGTCTCAGCCGGGAAAGTGTTCTGAATGGAAGTGAAGGAAATTCGCTGCAGACAGTGAACTTCCATGTGCCTTGCAAGAGGTAAGACAACCAGCACTGACACAGCATGAAACCAGGGTGACATGGAAGGAATGGAGGGACATTAATTCAGACATTTTGCTCTTAGCTAAATTAATGTTGATGAGAATTAAAAAGCGGTCGCGGTGGGTGAAGCTGTGACAAGAGGACACAAGATTAGAATTCTTCATAATGCAGAAGCTTTAAGTTTATTAACTTTTTTTCGCACCATGTTGAGAAGTTTTAGAAATCTGGAATTGTTCCTCAGTTGGATGATAATAGCCGAGCCAATTAGAGGCAGGCTTCAATTAAGCATCAAGCAACAAGATAATCTCAACCTCTAATTTGCATGCGCATATTCATTTATGTGAAAAATGGCTTTCATTTTCCCACATACATAAATATTCATCTCAGGCTCGCTGTAACGGTGCTTTTCAACTTGATGGTTTTTTCCTGTCATTAAAGCTGGTGTGTGATGGGGCTGCAGTGCATCCTGCTGGCTGAGCACAAGCACAACAAGTCTCACACCCTCCCAGTCTGCAGACGATACGGCCACTTGACCAACTTCTGCTTCATCATTTTACAGCAGATGCTCTCTGCAAACTCAGCCCTGATTTAAGTAAAGCTGGAAAGCAGAGTCTGATAAAACTCTTTAAATGTTTCCCAAGCTCAGAGACTAAACTGGGTCTGTAACTCGGTTTAAATTGCAAAACATGTCGGTTGTAACACTACGCACACTGCAGCGTAGATAAGCCACAGCCTGTAAACGGATAAAACACACTGATGAAAACAAAAACTGTGCTGCTGTTGTTCTCCAGACAAAAGCCAAAGCAATATCTCTGACATCCAAATGAATTATTCCGTATTACACCGCCACAAACAAATTCTTATGCGTGTTGTGCACAAAGCAAAGGAACATCAAAAATCCTCATGTGTCAGATGTAAGTTCAAAAGAATTTTTAAAATGCTCACACTGCAAACACGACTTCCAAAATTAGATCTGGGATTTTGGGAGTGAAATTGGTACAACTATTACTGGTACCGTGGTGTCTGCTCGCACTAATTGCCGTTACTTTACTGTGCGTTTTCCCAAGAAGTCAAGTTTTGTATCAGAAAAGAAAAATAAGATCCATACACCACCATGAAACTTGCCTCTTTTGCAATAATTAAAATGAACAAACACCTATATTACTCAGGTTATCAGTCTTTGGCATTGAGTTTTACATGATTCCACATTTCAGCACTATTTTTTTTTTTCTACTTAGACTTTCCGTCTCAAATGTATTTCCATAGTTGTTCAGTTTTCGTGGTGTAAGCAGAAAAGCAGAGCCTAAGCACTCTGGTGCATCCAAACACTTTTGCACTCATGGCTCCTAAAAGACCTATGGGGTACAACTCTGTGCTATTCCCTTTGCACACGGATGCATGGACACGACTAATGGTATAAAGTTATGAACACTACTGAGGATAGTGCAACACAATATTCTAGTGTTATCGCGTATGAGGGTTTGATCATTTATCCCTTGAGCAGCCGCGCAGCTTTTTGTTTATTCGTGCTCTTCAGAAAAGTGAAAACATATTTACATTCATGCTGTAAATGCCTGCAATCTAATGAAGGCATAATCAAGTCCAAATGTGCTTTGCACAATATGAAGTGCATCAGTCTATGATTATTAACTTAGTGATCTTGAATGGGTCTAAAGGGGCTCACTTTAAGACAAATGGGCTATCTCAGGCTTGTTGCTGACAGTAGTGAATGCTTAAATCCACATTAGCCTCAGACATCAGCGCTCTGACGACTGCTGAGCTGTTAGTGGCTCAGTCTGGCTTTGAATGCAGGGCTTATTTGCACATATCCCTGCTAATATGACCATAATAATATAATAATCGCATTAAGGTAATTAATTTGTGCTAATATGCTCCATACTTTGCCCAGAATATTGCAATTCTGAGTAATAATTTGTTTAACAGCTCTGCCCTCTACCAAGAAGCACTTCTCCACTAACACAGAGTGCTTACTCTATAAAGTTGGCTCAGTAAGAACATAAATATGCTCATTATTAACCATTAAAACCGCTGTGCATCAAATGGACCTTGCAAAGCATAAATGTCTCCGAGTTAATCTGGCTAAGAGCATCGAAGAGGTTAGTAAACAGTATTTTATGAAATTATTTCGCAAATATTAGCACAGCACAATAAAATATGCGTTCTACTTTCAAACTCCGGGTGCAGCAGGAGGATGTGACAGCTTTAATGGAGAGAATCTGCCCATTAACAGAATTACTGGTATATCCAGACATGATGCACTAGTCCAATCTAGTGCACCCATTCCTGAAGACTTACTGATATTCACAGATTTCTTTTATGAACTGCATACATCAACTGAGTGTGTGAGGAAAGGTAGAGCGCTTTGTTTCTGGTGGAGAATAAAGATTTGAGAAAACTAGAAAGATGAAGCTCTTAATTTACAAGAAGGGCATTCACAGGGTTCATAGCTCCGCCGAGGCTCAACAGTCCCCCCCACATCTAAATTCACCAGATCCAGATTTTTATTTGGATCTGCAACACAATTTTGCACATGCTCTTAAACAGTCCCATAAACATGCCTGAATTTTCTTTCATCAAGATCCGTGAATTATTCTCTGTGAAATCAATGAAAATGACAGAATTCCCCATCTCGCAATGTTAAGGAAATGAAGAAAAGATTCTTGAATCTGCACCAAAATTCAATGGGTTGTTTCCTGGCCCACACTGCATCCTTCCACCAAGTTTCGTGGTGATCTGTCCAGTGGTTTTTGCACAATGCAAACAAAATGACAGACGTAAATGAACACATAAATACAATAAAGGACATTTTTGTGATTCCTCGACAAACTCAACAAGGCAAACAGCAAATTTTGCATCATGGTAAATTTCTCCTCCAGCATCAACACTACAGACCTGCACCAGCCAGCTTTTTGCAGTTGTGTTGTCTGATGTAGTTGCAGATATTGCGTGCATTTCTTCAGGGGGAATAATCGCCTACTGGGGTGAGACCGGCTCTCTAGTTCCTCCCACCCGAGTAGAGGAGGTGTTTGGTCAGAGACTGAGGCAAAGAGTAAAGTCCATGTGGATGAAACCAGGAGTGAACTCTTCACACTCGTCTCTTGGAGGCATGAGCACCTCGGGGGCAGAACCTCCTCAGAGACCTGTGCAGCCTCCTTGTAGTTGGGGGGGTTGTAGTCGGGCATTATTCACATTCACAGAGCTGCAGAGAGGAGCAGACCCTCACAGGTGGGACCAGGGGACACAGGCTGACTTTCTATGACTCTCCTCTGCGGCTTCACTCCAAATGATCCTAGAGATCTGACGTTTTTATCGTTTTTTTCTCTCTCTTTCCTTGTCCTGGTAATGATAGCACAGGGCAGGATAATATCCGCGTCGTGTCTCTGCTTCGTGATCCCACTGAACTAATTTTTCAGAGCAGATTGCATTGGACCATGATTTAGAATTCATACGCAGTCACGTCTGATGTGGCCCATGAGCCTCGCAGCAAATTAGTTCAATCTTTTTGTGGGGATTTAAAAAGGGCACCTGCCACTCTGCTCTGCACCAGCTCTACATCACAGAGTCAAATGACACAGAGTTCGAGTCAGAGAGGAGAAGAGGAAAGATGGATTTTTCAGTTGTTTGCATCTTTTTTGTTATTTTGACATTACATAAGATAAAAGTAAAGAAAATTGTTTATTTTCAATTATGAACATTAAAGGGGGAATCTAGATATAGGGATTAAATCAGATTATAAAATGAGCAGCAGAATAAAACAACGTCACAAACACACATTGGACCAGAGAGAAAGAATGCACACACACACATTTGAATAAACACTGATCACTGGCAGGCAGTTAATTGTTGCACTCACTTGTACGCATGTCATCCTGCGCGTCTCCTCCTCAGTCTCTCAGTCTCTGTTCCAGGTTTAACTTCCCTGCTCCTTCAAATCATGAAGACTATGAGCAGTCATCTCACTTTCTCTGTCCACATCGATCACAAGTCTGATATCCATGAGTCAAAAACAGCAGGAACATGTCCCGGAGATGTAGATATTATTAAATCTAAATATTAGAAGAGAATAACTGAAAAAAGTTCAGACGCCACAGATGAGGAGCATGACAGGTAAACCCAAAATGCACCTGTCCAGCACGCAACCTTCTGGGTGTGTTTGATTTAAGTCACCTGATGTGATTCAATCTGCAGATGCAACGTTTCTCTTTGTTTGTGGAGGAGCTGAGATGGTTGTTAACTGCTGTGATCTTAACATTTATAAGATCCGAACCTCCGGGAGCGTCCGCAACCACGTGGAGCCGGCGTCTCTTCTTCAGTATTTACCTGTAATTTACCTGTGGTTTAACGTCGAGTTCTGCCCTCTTGTGGCAGCAGCGATAATAACAGCTTCATCACTCCTGCAGCTCTCACATAGTTTATTTTGATTGTGGCCAAGTCTTGAA